TCTGCGTCTGTGTCTGCGTCTGCGGGAGCATTGGCATCTCTGGGAGCATCGGTAGCTGCTGCAGCAGGGGCGAGGGCGGCTGGGAATTTGTACTTGTTAGCAGATATAACTCGGATTGGAAATTCCAATGACTACTTAATCACCTTGAATCTCAGCGTGCTCGATGGTCTCCAAGCGGGCAGAAATGGGGACACCGTCGTCGCCGCTGTTTGAAGTATCGGCCTTCTTGTCTGAAAATGAAACTTAATTGTTTAGCATTCAGAGAAGTTTGTGAAACTACCAAGACAAAGAGCGGTTTTATTTACCTGAGTCTCCCTCCACTCTAGCAACTCCCTCTTTGTCGCCGTCCACGCTCTCGGGGGGAGTGTGGTACAAGTCCTCAAGATCGTCCAGCTCATCGCTTTCTGAGTCAGACTCAATAACTATCACCTCGACCGGAAGTACTGCTGGTAACATTGACTTTGAGTGGCTTTCCACCGCCGTCCCCGAAACGTGGTCAGATTTCTTGCTTCGCATAATGGAGGGTTCCCAGAGACAGAAAATCAGTGCTTTGGGTAATCTGGGAAATGTGTTATTTCCTAACGTTTTGAGGAGGGGGCAGTTTGTGGGAATGGGAGAAGAATGTTCACTCCCTATCACTCGATTGTGGCGTGGATGAGGCTCAACTGCACGCCTGCGCCACACCCAATTGCGATTCTTGACAGGACATTCGAAACCCACTCTCTAATATAACGCCAAAACAGAGGTTTGGGGCTTTATATATACCTGAGAAATATGTTTTATAGACGCCAGATTTCCCTCTTTGCCTTCCCGTAGAGATCTTGGTACTCGATGACAATGTTCTTCAACTCTCTGTGCCTATATCGCCTTGTCTGCGCGCATGCAGCAGCTAGGCCTGTCGATATTGCCCGGACCCACTATATACATATCTAATTGAGGATCGCGATTTTTGTGATTCTCAATTTATTGATACGGAAGATAAAGTGATGTGTGAGCAAAATTCACACTCTTGGCACCACCCCTACGGTACTAGGCAGCACCTTTCCACAAACCCAGACATAAACCACAATCTCTACCACCCTACGCAAACAGAATATGGGAACCACTCTATAAGAGTCTTTCCTTTTCTTTTGAGTGTCAAGAAAATCTCATGGATTCTTTTTATCTTGCCGGTCAATCTTTACCAACACCCCAGTGGCGAATAATCGACGGAAATGTGAAATTTATCCATCTCGTATTGCGGACACAAAAGGACATAAGTGGCAATGAACTTGTATGCCCATAACATCATAGCAAAATTCTTAATGCTAACCTTCACAGGATCTCTCCACGAGCAGAGAGGGGAGAGGCATTGATGAATCGCTCATTGATCCTAGTCCCCTCCCTGCTTATCATGGGTAAAATTGTTTACCCCGAATTGGATCAAGATGCTTCCCCTTGTGGACTCCTGCATTGCTCTTTGTCATTGTCTCAGCGCCTTGTACATGTTAGTATCCTCCTTCTACTACTCTTTATTCATTGTAAGAATGCTAAGTAATTTATCAGCCTTATACTCGTGAATCCACGAATTACATTGCCCATTGGCGAGAATCACAAGATCACGCCAAGATACAGCACAATCTCATCAAAAGATGATTTGAGCAGACAGCTAGACGGGCCCTTGTGCTACTATGACATGGCTTTGATCATGAGAGCAATTCGAGCATGTTATACTACGCCATGTGGTTGTTTTCTTTTTTGCTGTGGAAGTTGGGCTATGGGATTCTATGATGGGTTGGGTGGGGTACATTAATTTGTGACTTTCGAGAAGGAAGTGCCCAAGTAGTGTATTGCTTTGAGCCCATCCGATGGATGAGGGCATTTGATAGGAGGCTACGAAATTGCTATCTTGACTTATAGCTACACTGCTGTTACCACATTACTGGGCTGATTTGAAGATGTAAATGATCAGGTATGTACAGGTTGACTTCTTCCTTCACTGAAGTCTATATCACAATACGGGACACCAAAGATACTGATTAAGGGTTTTCTAGTGTACGTCTAAGACACCAAAAAGGTTCGGTGGAACCCTCATATTTGGTTCCTGGCTTTTTGGGCGTGTCTCATCAGGGTTGCCTAACACGCTGAAGTGTTATGAACACCACTAAAAAGAGTTTACGATTATCAAGGTATGAAATAATTCTCTTAAACGGGATACTTTCTTTCGTATTTGTCATCTTCCCTCAGGCTTACGAATGAAGTTGGTGTCAGACCTTTGGAATTATGATATCAGGGGATCCGACTCTGCCACTTCACCAGCAAAGACGGAATCATCAAATTCTGCCGAATGTTATGATGATTCGACCTGACATCGCTACTCGGCTACAGCCATTAACGGTGATGGCAATGGTGACGCCTGAGATATTGACCGCTATATCTTACTTTGTTCCTTAAGATCAAAGTCCTACCAAGCTCAATCTACATTTATATCTGAAATCCAGGTGAGGAGGCACTCTACATTACCCGATTATGAATATCTCTAATACCCCGAAAACTAGGAACATTGAGCCCGCAAAACACCTACTGTCCCCGATTATTTATTTGGTGTGAAGACGCTCAATAACCCATGGTTAGAACCCGGAGTGGGCTTTCTGGTCATAGACACTTCATCCTACCAATCCAACAATCTGAAAAGGCTCCATTTTGGAACGGAGATCTAGTGGGCATTCTAGGGGCATACCAAGCGATACATTTCTCAACTCTTTCTATCCTAGTATCGGATAAAAGTCCGAGAAAATTCTTTGTATAGGAATATTGCTCTAATTGGGGTTTGTAAGCTCTTGAAAAAGCTCCGGATATTTACACACTTTCAAGCTCAGAATACGTGGAGAAATCCCCCCGAAAATGGATTCCTTGGTTAAATGTATTATTCAAGGTGTGATTGTGATCCCCACGTTCTTCAGTTTGGTTTTTCGTCTTCTTTCAAAAGTTATGAACTGGTGGTTTGAATTGGGTTAATCCATATATAAACAAAAAGATATTTGACAATAGATCCTATCATCACTCACATTAATATTCCATTATCAGATAAGAGTACCAGAACAAAAAGATTATATTCGCATATTCAGACATCTACGCATCAGCAAGCCAAAACACTTTAAATACATCAACAAAACACGAACCAGTCTTAAATCTCAATCAAAAATGAGTCTTTCAATCGGCGGAGCTTCCAGTAATGGAGCAGATCTTACCTTTCCAGGTGTCGACCATGACGAGATCACCCTCGGCGTTGAACTAGAGCTGGCAATCTTCAATCTTAACGATGACAACCGGAACCATAGCCTGTGGTTCTCTTATATCAGAGGGTCACTCATTGATATCGAAAGAAAGTTGTCTAAACCCGGTAATAGAGTCATATTCACTGTCAAAGACGATGCGTCGATTAATATCTGGTGGAAGGGACCCGGCTCAAAAGTGGGGGTTGCAGTAGAGGTTGCAACCCCGATCCTGCTCGGCGATCAGTTTGAGTGGGTAATTCCTGAGATGTGCGCCGCAATCAACGACGCGGTCAAGAGGCAGGGTGCGATAATTGATCTTTCACCTGAGAGTGAATGCGGTCTTCACGTTCACATCGGTATTCAAGAAAGACACTATACCCTTGGGGAATTGAAGAGAATCGCAAAAGCCGTCATCATCTTCGAGGATGTGATGGAAATACATCATGCTGCACATAGGCGAGGAAGCGCGGATTATATTAGGAGTAACCGAGCAGCAGAGCAGCTCAGAGGACTCTCGATAGTCCAGATGGTCAGCAAGCTTGAATCGGCCACTACTACTAACGAACTGTTGCACATGATCAACAGCGACCCAAACAGTCCAGACAAACACTTCAAGTATAATCTTACCGCAACCAAAAAATTTGGAACCGTCGAATTCCGACAGGCCGAGGGATCAATTGATGATACCAAGATTCTCGAGTGGATTAGAAACGTAATAACCTTCATCATCGGCGCACTATATACCCCAGACGAGCGTTTCCTGGAATTTGCCTACTGGGCCGACCAGGGTTTAGTTTGGGACGAAGATATCAGCGCATACTATGGCCTTCCGCCACCAGACCGGCAAGTATCGCCAGCTGGCATTGACCAAGCCTCTCAAAGTGACGATGGCTCCGATGAAGAGCCAGCGGAGAGTGATGATATACTTCCTGACCTCGCAGAGTTGACTCTTGACTCAGGTGGTGCTGAGGGTCCGGTTGCGATGAGAAAGCGTGACGCCTTAAGGATGCTCAAGGGAAGGGTCTCTGCCAAGATACACTCCCACCACATTCGTGAGAGAATGACTGAGAAGATGCATCGAAAACATATTCGGGAGAGGTTATCTAACAGAATCCAGCGAACTTTGGCCAAGATTTCTAAACGCAGAGCCGCGTAACTAAGCCAACATCTCTTGATTTAGAGCTTGTTGTTGTGAGGAGCCATAGGACACTTGAGCTTCGTGATTCATTGCGACTAACATGGATTTTTGAGTTTTAGACTTGAGTTTTAGATTCGATTTATTAGATCTCTTTTGATTTTTATGTCTTTGATTATGTTTTTCGGCGTTATCTGATTTGGTGTTTTTGAGTTATGAGCTGTGTTTTTGTCGTTTGAATTTTTAGACTGCGAGTTCCGATAGATGAGTTGTTAAAAATTAAACTGCGATAGTTGAATCAATTGTCCCCCTCTTATTGTGACAACCTTCTTGAAACTCTTGGAACAGGAGCCATAACCCTGCCGCGACCACCTTCACAAAGCATCACTCGAGTGTCTCGCTTGGAAATGATAGTTTTAACCGAAACCCACCCCAAACCAACCCAATCCAACTTGTAAACCCCTGTCGGTCGCAACCTAGCCCCACAGTTACCTCTAGCGCACTAAACCGCCTCGCTTAGCACGCCTCCACACACAGCGCCCTTCAAAAGTTGGTAAACGGATGATTTCCCATGATTCGAAAACTGAGTGATGTGTGGTGACCAACATGTCTTCATGGCTTAGTTGGTTAAAGCGTCGGTCTCATAATATGACCAGATTCATCAGTCTCTGGATATCCGAAGGTCGCGAGTTCGACTCTCGCTGAGGACATGCTCTTTTGTTTTGCCTTGCAGTGTCTATTTTTTAACCGCGCGTTCTTTGTGGATTGCGCGCACCGGGTTGGGGTCGTGGTTACTGTTGCTAGCTGAGTGGCGGGTGGGGTGGGGTGGGTACGGGTACGGCGGTATGGGCAACATCGAGTGAGTTGCTATGAATTCAGACATTGCGTTCTCTCCATCTCGGATGCTGCCCATGAGACTTGATGACCGAGTTGTGTGCCCTTTCCAGCGATGATCAAGTGTAGCGCAGAATCCGAGCTTCACCCATAACCATCTTACCACCAGCACCATGGTCAACCACGCCCCCCCACCTAACCCGCACCCGCACCAGTGCCGGTGCCCAAAACAACACAACCACTTTTCCCCCCCACCACTGCTAACCACACCCATGCATGCAACAGAACAGAGCTAGTGGTGCCAGTGTGTTGGCCGTGCGGTCACGGGGCGTCACTCGGGGGTCTTGGCATTTGTGAGTTTGGGAGGAAGAGGGATTGGCGGGGCTGCGGGGTCATGGTGTATCACTCGGGTGTGTGTGTTGGTGGAGATGTTTTCTTGAAACCGTAGCAAGCGGCCATGGCCAGCTTGGTTTGCGATTTTCAAATCTTGTCTGGGGGGCTATCTTGAACTGCTAGAGGCGGGGGGGGGGGGGGGTATATATAAGTGCCTCTGCGCGCCGTATCTGTATTCTTATGGTAGCAGCAATATTACTATAACCGAGCACAAGCGTCACAGATTACTACACCACAAACCAAACCCCCAACCCCCCTCCCCCCCCAAACGTACCCATCCCACCCACCAGAATGAGCACCACCATGACCCTCCCCACCGGCCTCCCCCCGCTCAGCTGCAGCGCCATCACCATCGGCCTCAAGCTCGAATTCCTCATCACACGCCTCCCGCGCGGCCCTGCCTCTGACAGCCAGCGCGAGCACGAGCACGAGCGCGCGCGCAGCGCCAGCACCCTCATCAGCACAGCCCTCACCCCGCTCTGCACCGCCCTCCGCATCCCACCCCCGCACCACGGCCCCATCCCCACAACCACCCACCCAACCTTCACCATCAAGCACACCACCTCCGCCCCACCCCCACCCCCACCCGCCGCATCCCACCCCGCCACCACCATCGCACTCACCACCCCAATCCTCCCATACAACACCTACGCCCGCGTCCTGCACGCCACCTGCACGGCCATCACCACCGCCGGCGCCAGCGTCTCGTGCAGCCGCACACACCCGGGCCTGCACGTACACGTCGGGCTTCTGGGGCGGCGCTACACGCTCGACGAGCTGCAGCGGCTCGCCAAAGCCATCATCATTTTCGAGGCGCGCATGGACGCGCACCACGCCGACGGGGGCGGGGGCGGGGGCGGGGACGGGGGCGGGGACTACACCCAGATGCAGTCGTGCATCGGCAGCGCCGCGCTGCGGGGGCTGGATGTGCGCGGGCGGTTGGCGGCGGTGGATGACGCGCGGTCGTATCTGGCGCTGTGTGCGGTGATGAATACGGGCCGGGTGGTGGGTGCGCGGAGGGCCGAGGAGATGTCGAGCCGGCTTTACAAGTATAATTTTGAGGCTGTGGGGCGGTATGGGACGGTTGAGTTCCGGCAGGCGGCGGGGACGGTGGATGCGGTGTGGATTGAGGACTGGGTGGAGAGGGTGGTGAGGTTTGTGATGGCGGCGGTCAGGACGGAGGATGCTGTCTTTAGGGGGTGGGCGATGGTGGAGGGCGGGCCGGATGATCCGGCGGTGTTGGAGCGGTTTGGGATCGGCGAGCTGCGAGAGAGTGCGGCGAGGAGGCGGAGGCGGCGAAGGGGGGTGGAGAGTGCTGCCAGAGGTCTGGGGCCTGGTGCTGGGAGATGCAGGCTGCTGGCTGTTCCGTGCCCTGAGTTGCCAGATCTTGGGCCTTGGACTCTCCCCCAAAGATCAACTCCCGAGCTGCCTGTTCTCACCCCTTCTTCTTCAACCCTCCCCCGCAAGCCCAAAACAACTACTCAAAAACCTATAGAACCAGACACTACCTCACCAGACCCCAATCCCAAGCCCAAAACAAGCACCCAAAAACCCGCCGTAGTAAGAGATATCACCCACCCCAACCTCCAGGTCCCCAACCCCAAGCTCAAAAGAAACCCCGCCCGCCCCCAAGAAACCCACAAAACCGCCACCGCCCAACACCCTCCCCCCAGCACCCTCCCAGACCCCCCCAAAGCCGCCCCCACCAGCAGCACCAGACCAAAAATACCCATCCCCAAGTTCAAGCGGCGGCCCTTCCCCCTCGCCCTCCTCCGCCCCACAAAGCGCCTTCCCACGGCTGCGCGCCCCTCCATCCCCGACCCCGGCCCCACCCGCGAGGACCCGGTAATGAGCGAGCCGGACCCGCAGCCGGACGCCGGCTCTGCTGCTTGTGTGCGTGGTGGCTCTAGCTCTGGTTCTAGCGTTGGTGCAGGTGGGTTTCTGGGCGTGTCGGGCGCTGGCGGAGGGGAGGTGGGGGAGGAGGGGGAGGAGGATGAAGAAGAAGAAGCAGAAGAAGAGGAGGAGGAAGAGGAGAAGAAGAAGAAGAAGAGGACGAAGAAGAGGAGGAGGAGTTGTGCTCCTCCGACAGCGGCCACGAGTCACCCGCACCCCACAACGAACCTACCAGGCGGCGTGTGCCCCCCGCTGTAACAGCAGTGACCGGGGCGCTGTTGCTCGCGCTGCTGCTGCGTGCGTAGTGGGTATGTACTATGTAGGTAGGCATCTTGCGCAGCAGTTATGTGTGGATGCCGCCCGCCGGTGGGGATCACGTGTGCCCCCGGAGGCCGGATTGGTTGGTATTTAGAACTTGTGCTCATAGAGACGCAGAGAGAGAGAGAAGGATGTGGACACACCACCCCACGCCGCGCCGCGCCGCAATATTGCGAGCCAACTACAGCCAGCCACTCGCTACCAGAGCAGCGCTGGCCATATGCATATACATGGAGGACCGACCGATCGGGAGCTGGTTCGATTACGAGACGTAGGTTTAGATCTGGGTTTAGATATAGACAGGCAACTATAGAAATGTAGACATAATGAGCCCACGGAGTACCTAACCCAGCCCGCGCACCAGTAACAAGGGCATGCCCATCCCTTTTAGCCAACCTACTACTTCTGAGTTTTTAAATCACTATTCCCCTCGACGGCGCCATGTATTAACCAGCGAGCCTCAATACCTCACCAGGCTTCAGCACTATGTATGTAACTATGTATGTAGTAACCAACCACCCACCCACCCACCCACCCACCCACCACAGCGCCCGCCCGCCCGGGGGCCCATGCAGAGTATGGATCCTACAGTCGACACCTACCCGCACCTACCTACCCGCACCTACCCGCACACACACGTACAGCACACAAAACACAGCACACAACACACAACCGCGCCGCCGCCCCGGGGGGAACACCGGATCACAGGCCGTCACTCGGCCCACCTGGGTGTGGGGCGGGGGTGCACTGGCACTACATGTACTACACCTACGACAGACGGCGCAACGTGTGTGCCCGTGCCTACATGCATCTGTCTGCCCGGCCCCCCCCCCGTACGTACGTGCCTATGTCCCTAGTTTGCATAGTTCCCACGGTGTAGCGGTTCTCTAGATGGGCTATGGATGGATGGATGGATGGATGGGTTTGGTGTGTGCATCGGGCTTTGATGGTTTGGTTTCTGCTGGGATGCATGGTGGGTGGGTGCTGTGTGTGCATGTGGTTATGATATTACTAGGGATGCTGGTCATGTTACTTTCATGTAGTAACTCAAAGGGAATTTATTAATAAACACCACAATACCATAAAACCCCTCCTACCCAAGTAGCCACAAAACGAGAAAGAAACCCGGCTACACCCCCACCCCCCCAGCCACCAACACCCCCCTCGCAACGCCCCTCGCAACCCCGCCCACAACCCCCCCCTCCCACCCCTCCCACCCCTCCCAGCCGCACCCCCTCCCACCATTCACCCCCCAGCACTCGTCCCCCACCTCCCCCACCACCACCCACTCCTCCTCAAACACGCTCCTCCTCCTTCTGCTTCCCGCGCGCCCCACCACCCGCGGCCTCACCACCAGCTCCTCGCGCACCCACGGCGAGAACCCGCCGCCCCCCCACGCCCGCAGCTGCCGCACAAAGCTGCTGTTTGGCCGCACCACGCCCCGCCGGCTGACCACGAACCCCAGCGCCTCGTCGACGCTGCACTGCCGCGTCTTCATCACTACGCACATGGTCAGCAACAGAAACAGAAACAGGACGCAGGAAACAGTGGTAGTTAGTGTGCGGGTGGATGGCTAGACTAACCGTACGCGACGACCACGGCGCCGCTGCGCGAGCGGCCCATGCAGCAGTGGACGAGCACGCGCTTCTCCTTCACCTTCACCGCCGCCTGCTCCTTCCTGCTGTCCGTGTCCGCGCCATCAGCGGCAGTGGGAAGGAGGTGCTCCAGACGGCTGACGCAGTCCGGCAGCACCGCCAGGAGGTCGGCGGTGTGGTCGTCGTGCAGGCTGTGGTACTTGTGGACGTAGCCGGGCGGGATGAGGGGCCGCGAGGAGGTGACGGAGAGCACGTGGGTGATTGCGTGCTTGGCGAGGGTCTCGGGGGACTCTGCTGCGGTGAGGCTGCGGCGGGGTCAGTGTGGAGGCGGGGAGAGGGGTGAAGGGGAGGGGGGCGGGGAGAGAGGAGGGGGGGCAGAACATGTAGAGTAGCTAAACACTTACTTCCCCAGAAAGAGGCCGGGCACGATCTCGTCGATGCTCGGCGGGTGGTGGCGGTGGCACGAGGTCGGCGTGCACGCGGGCGGGGGGGGGTCTGAGCTGTGGCTGTGGCTGCTGCTGCTGCTGCTGCTGTGGCTGTGGCTGTGGCTGTGGCAGGAGCAGTCGGGCTCGACGAAGGAGACCTTTGGCGGCATGCTAACTTGTGTGTGTGTGTGTGTGTGTTGCGTGTTTGTTTTGTTTGCTGGGCTAGCTGTTAGCTGTGTTTGTTTGTACTGT